CTCTCTCTCTCTCTCTCTCTCTCTCACTCCCTCACTTTCTCATGTTCTCCTTCCTGCACTGCTCTCTTCTGTTCCTCTCCAGAAGAAAAATCATCTCCTTCAGTCCAGAGGAAAAAATCATCTCCTTCAGTCCATTGGAAAAATCATCTCCTTCAGTTCAGAAAAAAAATCATCTCCTTCAGTTCAGAAAAAAAATCATCTCCTTCAGTTCAGAAAAAAACCCATCATACTAACAGTACATTAGCCGATCTAGGTGTCATCCATCATCATCCAGTGCCAGATCTCCGACAGACATCAGCGATCATGGTTCTCCATTCATTCCTTTGCTCGGATGCTCTCGAAAAAAGCTACGTTTCCCAGATCTTTTCCTGACCCGTTTGTTTAGGTTCCCTAAGTAGGTTGTTTCGGGCCTTATACATGTACTTATAACTCATAACATACTATCACCAATGTCCTCTCTTCTGTTGGAGCCCACAGACCTACCTAACTTGAACTCTACTCTAAATAAACTGGTTTCTTTTCTGTCGTCTGTTACAGGGGTAATTACGTAGGCCAGAAGCCTTACATACGTGGGTTTGGCTGCTCCAATTGTCCAGACGACGCGCAGTACTGTGGTGAAAACTTGTGCTGTAAGTATCATTGACGTTTATTATAGTCCATGATAATAATTGTTATGGATGTTTACGTTATTATGATTATTGTTTGTCATGATGTTGTCTGTCGTGTTATCTATCTGCATCGCAAATGTTATACGGGGTGCCCAATACGGCTGGATCGGGCCGATCGCCCGACTCGATCGCTTGAAATTGAAAACAAACACGTTTGTTGCCCGGTCTGCCGATCCCATCCGTAGTGGGTCCGGCGAGTTCGATTTCCGTGTGTGAAATCTTTCTTTCTTTTTGTATTGTTTTTAAAACTGAGTTATGAGTATCTCTGCCTGTCTGCTTGGATGGTGTACATATCCCATTCAGTCTGGGTTAGCCCTGATAGGCAGGCTCGGAACAGCTCAGCTCTTTTTTTTTTATCAAATTGTTCAAAGGGGGTTTACTATTTAAGCTATTGCTGTTGTACGTGTGTAGTTTATGTTGACTTTTTATGCTGTATATATATTATATTCATGTACACTTGTATCTTGTACAAGATTATATTATTATATAGATATGTTTACATATATATTTGTATTAGATTTATCTTGTTCACTACCGACCATCCTTACGTACACTCAAACCCTAATCCCTCTCCCACAAAAAATGATGTTGTGCATGTACTTGTATCTTTTACAGACCGAACATTTTTGTTCCAATCGGCGCACACTGCACGACCAATGGTGTGGGTACAAGTGCTGTCCTGCGTTCTTCTGCTGCTGCTACAGAGGCGGGCTTAGAGGGCAGATTGTTGCCTTGTTCTTTCCTGCCTGTAAGTTCAATTAAAAATATAGGCTCAGAAAAAGAGTGTAACCCATACTTTTTGTTTTTGTTTGTTTAGTATAGGGTTTTACGGCGCTCGCAACTGCATAAGGTCATATGAGCGCGCGGGACACACCTAATACTTTT